CAGAAACGAAAGGTTTTTATCAGCAAAGATGTTTATTTTAAAGAGCACATATTTCCTTTCATTCACTTGAATGGAAATATGAATGAAGTGAAAGCAAAAATGAATCAGTTGCCACTTGTAGAAACATAAATTCTTATAGATTCTGATGAAGAAAATGGAGAGAAATACTGCCAAATTGTGCAACAGGATCAAGTTGATCCAGGGAGTAATCAAGAAGATTTCCAAAATGAGACAGACTTAGAAGCGGCAATTCAAGAACAAACCAGTCAGCAGAACTTGGGGGAAGAGAATCAGGGCATAAGAAGATCTTAGAGAGAAAGAAGAGTTTTGAGTAACTTGAAGGGGTATGCTATGAACTCCCACCAAGTAATTTGGTTGAACATGATGAAGTTACACCTTCTTTTTCGGTCCATAAGCTAGAGGAGAGAGCTCATTATATCCCCGAGTATGTAATTTCCTTTCATAATGTGATGAAAGTGAATGAACCAACATCCTATAATGAAGCAACATCTCAAGAGGCATGGAAAAATTCTATGGAAGAAGAAATTCAAGCTCTCAAACTCAATGAGACTTAGGAGTTCGTTGATCTTCCAAAAGATAAAAAGGCCTTGGATTCCAAATGGGTATACAAGGTAAAATATGATAAGGACGGGAATGTCATCAGGTTAAAGGCGAGGCTTGTGGCAAGAGGTGACAGACAAGTCAAAGGGAAGGACTATAAGCATACTTTTTCTCCCGTTGCAAAGTTCGCTACTGTAAGAATTCTAATAGCCCTTGCAACGATCATGAATTAGAAATTACATTAGCTAGATATCAACAACGCCTTTCTACATGGATATCTAGATGAAGAAGTATATTTAAAGACTCCAAAAGGTTACAATAAAGCTCTTGATGGGAAGGTTTGCAAATTAAGGAAGGCCCTGTATGGATTGAAGCAAGCTTCAAGGCAGTGGAACATCGAGCTGACTAAGTTCCTGAAAAAAAAAGTCCTTCAATCAATCCTTCAGAGATTACTCCATGTTTTGCAGAGAGCATAATGGAAAGATGTAAATAGTGCTTGTCTACGTTGATGATTTACTGATTACGGGAAATGATGAGCAATACATACAAAAGCTGAAAATTGATCTAGACAATGAATTTACTGTGAAAGATCTAGGTGAAATGAGGTATTTCTTGGGTTTAGAGGTGTCGAGAACTGAAAAAGGAACACTTCTAAACCAAAGAAAGTATGTGAGTGACATTTTGCAATTTACAGATTTGCTGGAATGCAAACCAGTAACATGTCCTTTTCAAAAGAAGATTAAATTCTCAATACACGAGGGAGAGCTTATGAAAGATCCAGAAAGATACAAAAGCTTAGTGGGAAAACTTTTATACTTGAACTTGACTAGAGCGGATATTTCCTACTCTGTCTAACAATTAAGTCAATTTATGGCTTGCCCAAGAATGCCTCATTTTGGTCTTTTCTATCCATCTAATTCCAAGCTGGAATTGGTGGCTTATTGTGATGCAGATGGAGGAGCTTGCCCCTTTTCAGCTAGATCTCTTACAGGCTATTGTGTCTTCTTAGGGGGATCTTTGGTGTCTTGGAAGACTAAGAAACAAAAGACAGTCTCAAAGTCTTCTTTCGAGGCTGAATATAGATGTATGTCTCAGACCACAAGTGAAGTTGTGTGGATAGATAGAGTCTTAGAACATCTGCACATCAACATTAGTCATCCAAACCTTTGTATTGCGATAACAAATCTGCCCTCCACATTGCTGAAAATCCAATTTTTCATGAGCGAACAAAGCACCTTGACAAAGATTGTCATTATGTTCGTGAGCATCTAGAAGCAGGATTCATATCTACTGCTTTTGTTCGATCTTCCCTGCAAATTGCAGATATCATGACTAAGAGTTTATCTGAGCAACAACAAAAATTTCTATGTGGCAAGTTAGGACTTGTTTCTCATATGCAAGTCCAACTTGAGGAGGGGGTGAGGAAATTTGCTCCTAATTTCCAGGCTAAACCAGCTTATTTGCAAATTACATCAGAATAGCCTATTTTTTCTTTTGCTGTTATTTTGTTTTTTTTGCTTGTGTTGTCTTCAAACAGTTTTGTTTTTGATTGTTTCCTTAAGGACAAATGTATGCTCAGGATTGTAAGGCCTGTAATATATAAATGCTGGTCCTAGGTTGTATTTTGTAAGAGAGTGCAATTGCACAACCGCCAATTGGCTTGAATGAAAAGAAAGGTTTGAGGAGGTGTTCTTCCCAACCACCAAAAATACAAAAAGACTCAATTTTTATTGTTATAAAATCAGAAGATCAATTTCTTCAGTATGACCTATGGCTGAGGGCAATTAATCTTAGCCTCTTAGCCATATTGAATTCTCATGCATTAATGGTTCAATACTTCAAATTGCTTTGCCTTCAATTCAAGGGGGTTAAATGTTTATGAGTTATAATCACCTACGAATGAGCTACATTTATTGTTGAGGATGTATTGGATCAGATGAAACTTATTCGTAATATTAAGTTTTATTTGACTTATCACTTCCCTCTATTCTGAAATAGCTAACACGACGGTTTGACTGAACACACTTGTCAATACACAAGTTTGATCAAATGATATGAAAGTGTGTAATAATACTTCCTCTATTTCACTAAAATTGCACATTTTGATTAAAAATGTGATTTCGAGCTTTTTGGTCAATTGTCATTTTTGTGAAATGGAGGAAGTACTAAACTAATTGTATATTATATGATCGCATTAATATATTTTTACATATTAGTAAAAAAAAAAGCTCAAAGTAATTATATGAGTAGTGCAACTATGTCGGTTGTTGTGGAGCGGAGAAAGTAGTATATACTAGTCGTAGAGTGTGTACAGTTAACAAGTACAAATGGTTGCATGCAAAATTCAGAAACATGAGCACAATAATATTTGAAACAATAGCAACCATTTGTCCATTAGTAATACCTAAAATTGGCCTTCCTATGTGCTCAACAGTTGTTCTTCCATTAATTTGCTATTTGACCCTCTAAAAAAGTATACGACCATTTTTTTTCATGTCTTGCCACTCCACTTATATATCATGGGGCCACTTTATCAAACCTTTGTCCAGCATCCGAGGTATAAATGTTATGTATGTGTTTATATTTACATCACCTACAATGACTTTTGAAACTTCAATCCATCTTATCTAAATATCCCACAATTTAGTTATAGGCTAATGATTAGATTACTAATAATACTCTATGTATCGAGATCATTTTATACTAGTCGATGCCATTTAATCTCTAAGGGAATTTTTGAGGTGTTTGGTGACAATTTAAAACAGTATACTTTTTGGTCACATATTTTTAGATTTAAAACACGTATCATGTGCATTTAGATCTAATAAGTTAATATGGTAGCCAATTTTCATATTTAGATATAGTAAACTAATATGGTAGCCGATTTTCATATTTAGATCTAGTAAGTTAATATGGTTGCCGATTTCATATTTAGATCTATTAAGTAAATATGGTAGCCAATTATCGTGGACAATTGTAAGCACAATTATCTTCCTTAGATGTTGGGGGCAACTCATTGAGAATGAGCTTTACTCTTTAGCTAGCTCAAATCCATTCAACCTAGCCCAATAACAATTCGTAATTATTGTAAGTCATCAGTTATAAGACCCATAAACTTTAAATGGCCCGTTCAAAACTAGATCTGGTCCATCTTGAAATTATGTGTTCCCATAATGGTAGGCTGGTAGCGATGGACATGGTACGTGCCAAAACAAGCAAGTATTTGATTCATGGGTTTCGTTGCTGTGTCTGGGCTCCATGTATTACTTCCTCTGTTCCTTTATATTTGCCCTATTTGACTTTTTACGATCTCCAAGACACATGTTGAATCGTTTATATCTCCATTTTTATACGTGAGAAAATTATAAAAAGTTGATATTAATTAAATATACAATGAGACAAACCAAACAAGATTCCACATGACTATATTACCTATTGTAGAATAACGAGAATTTATGGTCAAAGTTTTCAAATTTTGACTCAAATTTTAGCAATGGAGCAAAAAAATAGGGATAGAGGGAGTACTTCGTATTTATATTCCTTCTATCCCACTAAGAGTCTAAGATTATCTAATACTTTCGCCATTCATACATAAATCCATCACTTGCTCATTCAAAATCAATTTATCTTTCTTGATAATTTTCTATGATGTTTTATTACGTAGTATTTTATTTATGCATTCGGTATGTTTAAATTTTTTATTGTTAGTTGTTTGTAAAATTACAATCATTTACATTAACTTTGTGAAGTTTTGCAATTATTAACACCAACTTATATCACTTGCTAAACTGACATCAACTTGCTACAAAAATTACAAAATTGACATAAATGACACTGAACAACTAATTTTACATAACTTTCAACCCTTGTACAAATATAAAATTCCTTTTCAACAACCATTTGCTTCAAAAAGTTCTTAATGTGTTGGAAAGATAAGACTATAAATGTCATATGTAGAGTATTATTGAATGTTTATTGCCTTTAATGTCAATTTTATTCATTTTTGGGCAAGTTGGTGTCAAGTTAACAAGTGACACAAGTTCGTGTCAATATTTGCAACATACTCTTAAGTTGGTGTTAATGAGTGTAATTTTGCCTATTTTCTATCCATCTCATGCTCTCCATTCTAATAATGAAAAACTAACCTCTCTAGTATAGTCATAGGGTCTTTCATGATCCTTACTGTCCTTCAACTATAATAAACATTTATCAAACTCTCCTAAAATTTTGTATAGTTTCGTGTAATGTTATTTATATATTCATGAACAGATAGATTATACAAGTAAATAAAAGATACTTTGTATGACTGTATGAGGCAAACTCAACAAGATAATACAAAAAGCTACATATAAATAAAGAAAGTGGGTCAATTTAATGGGACGTAAAATCTACCATCAATTATATCCTTTGCTTTAAATTTTATCTATTCACAGATAAAAATCATCATATCCTTATTCCTTCGAACCAAACACTCCCGAGTCTCGAATCTATTTTTTTTAATACTCCGTATAAATAATCTTGTGCATCGGACGAGTTGGACGGCCTTGAAACGGTAGTGTGTATAAAACATAACTTCATAAACTTTCTGCTTCCCACCTACCTCTCTTGTCAAATTCTACAGGAGAAATAAACTTCACTCATCACAACATTCACAAAATTTCCAGACACTTTTTCCCTCTTCCCCTGCCCCAAGAAAAGTACCTCTCCACCAATGGGCACCCGAATTGTATTGGGCTGGATACTCCTAGCACTAGCACTGTATTGTGGGCTTGACCCATTTAACCACAGTTCAATTTCCGGGTTTCCAAATTTTGTTTCTGTTGAGGTCAAATTACCTGATAAATACGAAATTCCAACAAACAAAGATTCACTAAATTTGTTGCAGAATTCGGATGTAAAGTTGTTGGGTCAAATTCAAGGACCCGAAAGTCTTGTTTTTGACCCGAATGGTCGTGGCCCGTATACTGGTATTGCTGATGGTCGTATTCTCTTTTGGGATGGCACCCATTGGACCAATTTTGCCTTTACTTCTGCTAATCGGTCAGTTTTTTAGGTTGTTTTTGTTTTGATTATTATTATTTAGTTAATTACTATCTTATGATTAATGCCATTGTTTTGTATTGTTTACGTGAATTCTTGCATAAGACGTTATAGAAGTTGATATATTATCTGTTGATTATGGATATTACGGAGTAATTGTTAAAGTAGCGGAAGTATCGGTCAAATTGTTGCATTTTAAAGATATTAGTCATATGGATCTTACTAAAGAATGCCGGTTAGATAAGCAGTTAAAATATTTCCTAAAATTGTATTAATTTGGGGATGCATGACATAATTACGGGTGTAATTAATATTCATTTTAATTTAATATTTTTACTTTTAGTTAGATTATCCAACGTTTACGGGGCGTTCGTTAGATTTTTCCTAGTCATATTACGGAGTAATTGTTAAAGTGGGGAAAGTATCAGTCAAATTGTTGCATTTTACGTGAAACCGAGGAGTAAAATTAGAGTCGTTCTAAGAGTCAAGAATTATGTTTGAACAATCATCTCATTGGTAAGTCAGTCGTGGTTAAGTGGATTGACTAGTTCTAGTTTGTATAAAACTAAAATTTAAGTTGATAGTAATTTTTGCGTAGCGCAATAATATTCATTTTGATTATTCTACTATTCTTGGTCATAATAATTACATGAATGATGACTTTGAATAAGCTGCATTTGATTATGTATATTGACTATTAGTTTAATTGGTAAACTAAAAGTTGATTTACACAACTAAATAAAAAAATCAATAATTTTTTTTAATAGAGTTTTGGTAAGATATAAGGTGACAAAGAAAAATAATTAAATTAATACATGAATTTCTGCAATTCACCAATGAGAACTGATTGATTTCTCAAGTTAAGGTTTTGGTTGAGCTATCACTTATCAATGAATTGATTAATGATAATGATGTGTTAATATATTAAGTAACATGTTACTCGACTACTAATACATCCGCAGTCAAGTGAAGTTATTTAGTTATTGGTATTTTGTACTGTACGCTAGTAGGAATTTTAAATCAGCAATTATAATTGCATTGATATTTAATTTCAAACTAACAAATACGAAGTACTATGTAATAAGTATGGCATTACAGAGGATAAGTGACAACTATATGAAAACGCTAAAGTTAACTAAGTGGTCAAATAATATGGATGGTAGTTGATATAAGAAAGTCTTTATTATCACAAACATGTAAGATGTTAGCTACCTAGATAGGTAGATGGATTACGGAATAGGTTGTATATTATGGTGAGCAACTAGACATGTGTTAGCTGAGAAGAATGAATGAGATGCAGCCTATATACCACGGCTTAGCTTATCAAACCTAGTCTAATGTGCACATTGCGGAAATTGAGCTATCTTGTCTAGGTTTGGAAGAGCATGATCGGAGTCATGTAATCCTTGTGTTCTGAAGATGCTCTGTAGTGTGCTGAATGAAAGTGAAAGAGAGTTGAGGCTGCTTGTGCAGTGTTAAATGGTGCAATTATACCATCTTTAGAAGGGAGATGATAGAAGTAAAAATATGAGGTTCCAAGGTGAACAGATTCTAATTACTGTTCTGTTCTGTTCTGTTCTGACTGTTAGTTGATCATATAGCTCCTTATAAGATATGTAGTAAGAAATAAGAGGATCAAACCATTTCTTTTGAATATTTCAAAATCGATAATTGGTGATTGATTGCATAATTGTGATCCCTTATTACTCAACTTCTTTAAGAAGAAAACTTGTGATTTTTAATTTATTGTTATGAAACACTTAGCCCTCATGAATAGAGTTTGCAATTTTAGTTCAGAGGAGTCCTTTTGTATGTTATTTGAAAAGCATTTAACCTATGCAAGTCCAACTTCTGTGTTGGAGGTGATGCATTTACAACATTTTCTGAATCGCTGTTTTGAACATCAGGTCGGTATGTGATCCTCAGCCAAATCCGTTAGGTTACATAAAGAACGAGCATATATGTGGCAGACCACTGGGCCTTAGGTTCAACAAGAAGACTGGTGAACTATACATTGCAGATGCATATTTCGGATTAATGAAGGTAGGGCCAGAAGGAGGTGTGGCAACATCCCTTGCAACTGAAGCAGAAGGGGTACCTTTAACATTTACAAATGACTTGGATATTGATGACGAGGGAAATGTGTATTTCACAGATAGTAGCGCTCAGTATCAGAGAAGGTAAGTTACTAATTCCCCTCAAATAATACTGGTGATGTGCTTAGTTATAGTTTATAGGTGGCAAAAATAACCTTCGAATCAAGTATGATTTCACATAAAGATTTTATTTGGGTGATGAATCATTTGATTAGGTTTGGGTATGTTGTTGCTTAGCTTTGACTGTACATATTAATCAACATTAGTCTTATGAATTTTCGGGTTGGGCTATATGGGACCTTGTATTTAGAGTTGGGTAATTAGGTAGTGTGGTACATTATTCAGCTCCCTCTTCTCCCAACAATCTAGAATACAATTCCTTGTTTCAGAAACACCTCATGTTTAAAGAACTTGATCCCAGAAATCCGATTAAATGATAGTGTGTTTAATCAACATTGTGATGCCCTGATTCCTACTCCCTACAGTCCCCAGTGCTCAATGGCATCTACATCTCTTTTGAATCTCAAATACGTCAAAATATTCATGTGTATATTTTAGATCATTTGTTTTAATTTTGTGTATTGGGTTCGTTGATCCATTTGTATTGGTTTTTGTACCTTGAGCTCACTATGGGCAACATTATACTTGTGCACTGACATAATGCTTTGGTATCAGACATTTCATGCAGTTGGTTTTCTCTGGAGAGGATGGTGGGAGGGTCTTGAAGTATGATCCAGTGACAAAAGAAACAACTGTTCTCCTGAAGAACATCCAATTCCCTAATGGAATTACATTGAGCAAGGATGGATCTTTCTTTCTCTTCTGCGAAGGTTCCATTGGCAGGTGTAGTATTATTTCCTCTCATTTTTCCATCATACATGAATACAATGTTCTTTGCTCGTATGGATATCCGACTTCTTACTCTTTTGTTGGCTCTATATAGTTGGGTTGAAAGTATTTCCCTCCACTAATTGGAGTAAGTGACATGAATAATCACAAGCTTAACCCATCTTTAATTTATCACAGTTCATGAAAAAATTCCAGTTTGTAGGATTTTGGATTTGCAATGTTTTACTTTGGTAGCCTATGTACATCATCCTTTTTTTCTGATGTCCTTAACAAAATGGAGCTGGAATTGAACTTAAATTAGCTAATCTCTTGCATGAATCCATGATAACACCTTGATTTGTGTGAAATGTTCAACAGGCTAAGCAGATATTGGTTGAAAGGAGAAAAAGCCGGAACCTCAGAAGTATTTGCGATTCTGCCAGGATTTCCTGACAACATTAGGACCAACAAAGACGGTGACTTTTGGGTGGCATTGCACTGTCGTCGCAGCTGGACAAACCACTTGTTGGCAGCAACACCGAGATTACGGGATTTCTTGCTCAGGCTCCCAATCAAAGCAAAGTATCAGTTCATGGTCTTCATTGGAGGCTGGCCTCACGGAATCATTGTGAAGTATAACCCTGAAGGTGAAATCGTACAGATCTTGGAGGATAGTCCAGGGAAGGTTGTGAAAGCTGTGAGTGAAGTTGAAGAGAGAGATGGGAAACTCTGGATTGGAAGCGTCTTAATGCCTTTTGTTGCAGTTTACGACTTGGGATCAAGCTCGAGATGAGAGGCTGGCCAACCTGTCATCTGCTTATCAGACATTTCTTAATCGCTTTCGCATTCTATTGCTCATTTATCTGTCGGTTAAGCTTTACAGTACAAAGGACTAGGAAAGAAATGCGTTTGCTTCTTTTTTCTTAGGTTTGGTGATTTATATCTTTAATACTGTTGCAGCTTTTTCACGAAGGCCATAAATAATCAATACTCCCCCAACATTAGAACAATGTCGTCAATATGTCATGTTTGACTAAGTGTGAAAATTTGTTCACTTTTAGGCTGGTTATTTGTTATTTCTCATGATTTATTCACTCTTGTAGTCTTATACTCTTATTAGATTCATTTCAATACTTTCAATATGAAAGCATACTGATACTCGTGTTTATTTATTAGCAGTGCTGTAGTGGTTAACTATCAATGGTTAAACTCAAACATGTGCTGTGTGCATACAAGGTACTCCAGTAGAAGTCTCTCATATAAAGGGAAAATAGGAAATAGCATAGGCTTCGAATCATCATATAAACCGGGTGTGGAAGCTATCCATCTGGAACAATACAAAAGTGCCCCCTCGGATGTAATGCTGCTGTGTTAGTGAGGTTAATCTGAATTGGCTTTTATTCTCTTTTTATCGCAAAAGTTTCGGTTAAGTCTTAAGTTTCTGCAAATGTTCATTGGAGGAGATACTTGTTAGAGATTCCAGCTGCCTCTTGAACAAACAAATTCCAAACATTCAAGGCATTATTCCAGAAACTGGAAAAAAATAATTAAGTCTATTTCCAGGGTAGAAAGCCAAAAGAATAGTAGAACATTAACAATTATTTAAAAAAGTATAAAACCCCCACCACAGCCGATTGAATCCAGCTAAAATAATCAAAACCGAGCAATAAGTTGTTATTCAACATTCTAAATACTTTCATTTGTTCGAAGCTGCTTCACTGGGTGTTCTAGTAATCATCTGGTCAACTGCATGCACGGTGGTCTGAAGCTCTTCCCATATAGCCTTGTACACCATTCTCTGCCTATTCACAGCTGTTTTTCCCTCAAATGCAGAAGATACAACATCGATGCTGGCAAGAAAAAGGCATAAAAACTCTGTAAGTGAACATGAGCATGCATTGGTTTCCTAGTGTACATTTTTCATAGCAGTAACAATCTGAAAAGCTTATGTCCAAAAAAATTATATGGGAACACTAAAAAGATTAGGCCCAGAATGGTCGGTCTATAGCCTGATGTCTTTTTTTTAAAAAAAATAAAAATTAATAGCTACTTCCCCGGAGTTGAGTGAGAGGAAGGTTTTGCTTTAGAAAAAGCTCGATCACACTTTAGAATTACTCCCTCCATCCAGAACAAACTAACTTCACCTGAATGAGCAACTTGCATGCTCTTGGCACCATGTTTCACTAACTTAATTCATGAGATCAGGCAACAGCAAAAAGGTTATAAACTAATTATGTTTAGAGTTTCATAGCATGGGAAGTGGGTTAAGAAGTGTAGAGTTTTGGATTTGTGTATGGCACTTCTTGTTACCTCTATTTCAAACAAAGTTTAAGGGGGTTCTCCACAAACATGATTTCAATTAGAGGGTTTGAGTAAGTGACAACCTTGTTCATACACAGGTCATAGTAACGCATGACAGGACTCTATGTAGTATAGGCAGTTCTCTGCAAATGCAGGATAAGTCACCAAAGTACAGGCTACACATAATTTTGAGGTCATTGTTTTGTAGTTTGGCTTCAGTTTTCCTTAAGCAATCTATTGAAATATTTGGAGCCTTCCCATCATCTGTTTCATTCACGCACTGTTTTCACCCAACCTTATCTACTAATCATTCAAGCACCTACTTGCTTGTTTTCCTTCATGGGATAGATTCATAGATCCCTAGAGTATTTCCATTTACCTCTTCATACTCAGAAAACGACTCTGATATAGTACCCTCCAATTATATGCCAGTTCTACCAGTGCAGGGATATAACTAACATGGAAGTTCAGAAATACAAGCCACAGTTTTTTCCTACACCCTTATCCTTGGAAAATAGCATGTCAATGATTCAAAGATGACATACAGAATGATAACTCAATAGAGTCCCACAATGGAACAATTTGTGGGCAATTGGTGGAGCGTGTTTGAGATATGTTGACAACTTATGAGTGAGGTACGAAAAAAAATACCAGATAAATGCACACTTGCCATTGAAACAAATAAACAATTCAAAGGCATGGTCCTTATCTAAGGTAATAATACTAATATCACAGCCTAAAAGACCCTTAATCTCCAATTGCAGAGATGCTGCTTTCATTAATCCTTAGACTAATACCTTTAAAGCATAAGCAATTTACCTGACATGCCGACCATCACCGTAAGCATCTTTTACAGCAACAGATTCAGCTTTCAGCTCATCTCTAATCTATTTAAATAATGAAAACCAACAATGTCAGACAACAGATATTACAGTAGAGGCAGCTACCAGTGCAAAATAAACGAGCACCGAGCTATGAGAGTCCGGTAGACATCGAAAACACGATAATAAAAAGTAAAGAATAGCAAAGTGCTCAAAACTAATCCTGTTAGCCGTCCTTAACCTGCATAATCATAGAAATTAATCCCAACTATTGCAAATTGGCAATCACTGACAGTTAAAACTCTAAATTTCACAGAAAATCACTGATAATTCGAAATTCAGAAAGAATTAATCAAGAAATGGTGTTAATTAGGGTAATAAATTATCCCAAATAGTTCTGAATAAACAATAAGAGCCTCCCAATTTAACAGTTTGAGCATAAAATCGAATGCAATTTTCCAAAATCAAAAGGGTAACAAAATATAAATAAAACCCACCTCAAATTAATCAACAATTTCAATTACAACCAAATATTATATAACAAAAAAATCAGAAAAAATCAAGCAGTGACCAGGAAAAAAAAAAAAAAAAGACCTTGGTTTCCATAGATTGCATCAAAGAGGAGTCAATGGATCCAGGGTCATTAACATTATGAGGAGCTGAAGCCCGAGTAGTAGAGCTTAATCTACGACGAGAGTTGTTACATTGAAGAGGAGTTGCAGAAATTACAGGTGATTTCCCAGAAAATTCCAACAAATTTGGGAAACGAAGAAGGGTTTTTTGAGAAGTGGGGCAGTGGAAAAATGCAACCTTGGATTGACCCGAAAGTAGGAGTTGGTGGGTCCGACATCGGATTGTGGTTGCGTATGCCATGTATGGCCTGAATAGTTGCTTCACACTCATAGCCATTGAAGAAGATGACAGAGTGAAAGAGGTTTGAGTTGGTTTTGCCGTCTAAAGTAGTGTTATTTGGTATTTTTTTGCGGCTTCTATCTCATGAGTCATGAGCCATATGAACCAAATATGTTGGCCTAGTGGCAAAGATTGAAAGGAAGTGAGTTTTAGTTGATGGCATTTGGCAAGAAAATAAAAAAATAAAAAATAAAAAAAAAAGAGTGAGTTTATTATTTTCCCATATTTGATACTTCGTATGATAAATGAATGAGAATTGGTAGGAAAGGGGAAGGAAAGAGTGTTTACAAAATTTTCACTTCCCTTTCCTATCAAAATTGGAGGAATTTGAGGGGAAACTGAACAATAAAAAATGTTTCTTTTATCTTCACTTCATTTTTTTACACTTACCAAACATTGGAAAATCCCTTCCCTTCCCTTCCCTTCCCTTCTCTTCCTTTCTTTTCTCTTTCTTTCCTTTCTCTTCTTTTCCTTTACTAATATTAAACCAAAAAGAGCATTATGGTCTGATTTAGTTTGATTTGATTTACGCTTTATTTGGATAACAAAGAAGGAAGGAAAGGAAGGGGAGGGAAAAAGGAGGAAGGTTAGGGAAAAGAAAGGGAGGGAGAGGTGAGCTCCATTTTCCCTCCAAATCTCTCCAATTTTGAAGAGATTATGCTTATTAAAGAGAGAGGGAAAATGGATCCCTTCCTCTCCTTCCCCTTCCTTCTCCCAATCCTTTACCCAAACAAGAGAATTTGTCCCCCTCCCTTTCTCTTCTCTTCTTTTCCTTCCATTTCTTTCTATCCAAATAAAGTATTAGTGTGGTTTGATTGTTATTAATGTTTAGACTCATTATCTTCATGATATCGCGATTTGAATTTCTTAGTTTATTCACCTTTTCACACCCACCCACCTTTATACGAAGTACTCCGTATTGTATCTCTCTCCAAAGTAAAATTTATGTTCAATGTAATAAATTTCATTTAAGGACATATTCTTTCCACTTAAAAAAATTAAAAAAAATAAAAAAAAAATCAATGAAAATAAGTTTAGTAAAATATCAAGAAAAATCAATAAATTTAAAGAATTTAAATATGGTACTTCCTCCGTCCCTATCTACATGCATGTATTCTTTTTTGGGGGTTTCAAAATTACATGCTTATTTCTATTTAAAGAATGTACTTTTTGACAATATTCCCTCTTTTGATGAGTTATCGTCATTTTTTTTTTATTTTTTTTTTGTACTTTTGACATTATTGTCCAACACTTTATTTCTCTATCTCTTCAATAATTACCAATTACATTTTCTTTCTCTCTATCTCTCTCTAACCCCACCTGCACATTTGCACTTCCTAATTATAGGTTTTAAGAAATCTCTAAGTTTCTCAATTCCCGTAAAAAATGAAAAATAGGCATATAGATAAGGGATGGAGGGAGTTAGGGTTATACACCGGTCCAAAATCGGACCGGACCTGACCCGGACCTGAATGGACCGGGACCTGAATCATTGATTTTTAAGAACCAAAGACCGGACTTGAATCAACAGGTCCAGTTTTGGTCCAGACCTGAAAATTAGGTCCGGTCCGGGTTTGGACCTGATTATTAATTTGTTCCTTTTTTTTATTTTTTTTATATGGTTCTATACTTTAATACTTATATGTCTTAGTAGCAAACTAGCAAGAATTATTTAGATTGATTTATCTAATTCAACCTTTAACTTCAATTTCAGAATGAAAAGAAAAACAACTCGAGATATTTAAAGTTTTTTTTACTAAAAAAGTGTTTACTCTAAATCCTCCTCATCCACAAAATGATACTCCTCCTCCACAAAATGATCTACCATCTCAAGAAAGTGAACCAAATCCTCCTTCACTACAAGAAAATGAACAAAATTCCCAAGAAAGTGAACCAAATACTCCTTTACATCATGCAAGTGAACAACATTCTTCCCCATCTCACAATTTCCCTCAAAATGAAGATGGGCAACCTTTTCCCCAAGGTGGTTCAGATCCTAGTGCTCAAATTGATGAAGGAAGATTAAGTGCACTTGATATTGTTAATCTTCCACAAGACCCCTGAAAAAGAAGAAGGATGTGTGATTTTCATCCCGATGATAGGGATTTACTGCGGAGAACATACATTCAAAGAAAGCCATGTCAACCAAAAGATCCTTATACAAGCTTTGACTATTTTTTGATATTATATGCTGTCGATGGACGATGATGGAGCAACCTATTAATTAGATTCTGGATCCGTCACTAGTCCCATTTAGATCGGTTGCCAGGTCCGGGCCTGTTTGTGTACACCCCTAGAGAGAGTATAGTATAATTAATTTAAATTCAGTAAATAACTTTAATTTAGCAAAAAGTACTCCGTAAGGTTAAGAGAATATTATGTCCCAACAAATAAAAAAGCCCACCCTTATTTCTCATTCTCCAACACTTGTAAGTTCATTTGCAGCATTCTGTTTCTCTTCCTATTTCTTCTTCACACTCTTCAGTGTTCAATTTCAGCGCTTTCAGTCCTCCAAAACTCATAATCATTTATACAAGTAAGTTTTCCACAATCTACATTCTTCAATTTTATTTGAATCTTTGTTTGTTTCTTCATGATAATTATCTTTCCCCCAACCAAAATTTCACTTGATTTGATATTTGTGTCAAATTGTATACTGTAATTGCTTTCAGGAGACCCATATCGATTATTTTTTATTTCTGTGATATTTTACTAGTTTTTGTTTTGATGGTTTTCCTCAATTTGATGGAAAGATGTTATCTTTAATTTACAAATGTTTCTTTAATAATCAGTTAATCATGCATTCATACCAGTTCTTATCAATTGAGTTTGGTAAATTTTCGCTTTGAAAAGTTTTAGTATTTGGTTATTGGTGTAATAAAAAAATATATCAAGTATATTTTATGCTCTTGTTTGCTTTAACAAGTCTAAAATAATTGATCATTGTACCATTGATTACTTTATTTTTTATCCTAATTACTATGAAATTGCGTAAGTAAAGACAACACCAACCGCACTAACCCAAAATAATTAAATGGAAGGATCCATTTTTCTCTTCCGATACCAAATTGTTCTGAAGTTGAGAAGAATTAAAGGGAAAGCATGAAACCGTATCTCCTACCCCATCACTCTCTTTCTTTCCCCCTCTCTTTCCCTCCACGCCGTAATACTCCGTAAGTGAATAGGGAATTCAAGTTGATCATAAAATGGCTCCTTTGCGACTAGACTTTGGTTGATTAATGAGCCAAGGAAATCATTCTATTGCATAACAATAAATCATTGTAGTGTTTGGTGTGGTATAATAAGCTCCCTCTTTTTGTGACCATTAAAAGGGTATCACAAATAATTATTCTACTCCTCATTACTTCAACCTCCCTAATCAAATTAACGTTTTCCCTTAATATAATTGGATTTCTGGTTTGTATATTGTATAATTGAGGTAAAACCAAGCTCCAAAACCTCCTTATTTCAGTTCTAATTAGTGCATGATACATCACACTTTGCATTATCAGTGAAACTGATCTCTGTAACCAAATTTTAATGGATGTTGCTTTGTAGGGGCAGAGATGAATGATGCTCAATTGATGAAAGGAGATAAGCTAGTATTAAGGGGGTTGAAGTTTCATGGTTTTCATGGGGTGAAACCTGAAGAAAAAAAACTGGGTCAAAAATTTGTGGTGGATGTAGATGCTTGGATGGATTTGCGCAAGGCTGGCATATCAGACTGTTTGTCTGACACTATCAGTTACTCAGAGATTTATCGGTGAGTATTAAGATAGTAATTTGTAAAAAGCTACATCTGAGGATGCTTTAGAATGAGCTTTTGGATGCAGAAGTCCAGAATGTGATAATTTATGCTTAATTGCAACTTTTGTGCTCATGTTTGTGCTAATTGTTAAGAAAGTACTTGTTCGGTCTTTCATATTATTTGAATTGTTTTCATTGTTCCAGGAACAGTGATTGAAATCTGAGGTTACTTTTAAATAATGCATTTCCATGTGGCTGTAGCTCGATGGTAATAGGTCATAAGCATTTGAGCTCCTCTCATATACATATTTTCCCGCTTATTTTATTAATTCCATACACAAGCATGTGCACCATGAATCAGCGGAATTATTGTCACAATGTGAGAAAATGTGTTAATATTTCTGCTTTTGTATGTGTCAAACAATTAACTGATTTAGGTAAACATCCTTCTGAATGTTTAACAATTTCCTTCTGGTTCTAAGTTTATAACCATATTAGAATCTACAGTCTGTTGGGAACATCAGTAGGTCTTCTTTCCGGAACTGTCTTCTGAATTTTAAAAGCTTGGATTTTTTTTTTGCTAGGATCTCTTTCTGCAATTATGTTTTTTGTTTCATTTGCTTTGGTTGTCAAATTGTCATACTGTTATTACTACCACCAACATCTTTTTATTTTTTTTTTTATTTTTATTTTATGTATTTACAGCATAGTCAAGGAGGTGGTAGAGGGAACATCTCGTGATCTTTTGGAGTCCGTAGCTCAACAAATCGCAACTATCACCTTTAGTAAGTTTTCCCAAATATCCGCTGTACGTGTGGAGGTTAAGAAACCTCATGTTGCAGTTCAGGGCCAGATAGACTACTTGGGAGTTGAAATTTTCCGCTCAAAACCTGCTGACACAATATGATCTTGGACATAACCCTTTGCCCCTTGCTCCTCTTTTATCTATGTTTATTTTTTCTTCCCTTCTAAAAGGGTGTGTGTAAACTTGTAATGTTGAATCTTATGCAAATAATTGTTTGTATTTTGGGCAAACAGTGGATAATATTTCATTCTGCAGGTCTTATAATAAACATAACAGTCAGGTGCAAATTGTACATCACATATAATCCTGAGTTTGTGTTTAACTTCAGAGCTGGATATTCGAGTACAAAGGTCGAGTTGGCATAAGATTTCATTTGTACAGATAGATAATAACTTGGGAGATCAAGTTTCATAAAGTATTCAATTGTTCAGTGACTACAGACCAGAAGATGTATACGTTGTATCAAGTATAACAATCAACCATGGCATAGAAATAGGTGAAATTACTTGGTTATTCTTTCCCTAAATGATTGGAATATGATTGATTTTCCTATCAAAAACCTTAGAAATGGTAAATAATATTGATATGGTTTTCAACTCATTTACTCCAAAACTTAGTTAAGAATTAAGTCGGGCAATGATCCAATGATAACATAAAGGATTATAGAAAAGAATCAATTTCAAGCAAGATGACTACGAACACTATAACAATAGACGCCTGACTACGAACTTTGTTCATTCTCCACCAAGCTGATGCAATCTCATTGAGTTTGCGAGGAAATAGTTGATGTTCTTGCTTCGTAAGCTTCTTATAATTGCTGACTCTGATTCTCACAGTTTTCGCTAATTCAGATTATCAGATTCCTTGTCTATTCTCTTACCAGTTACCATGACTTGCTGTGCAATGCTTTCTCATATTTCTACCAAATAAAGGTGGTCCATGCCCAACACACACATTAGTGTCGTCGTGATGTGCCATGCTTTTTTAGTGCTTCGAGCTGGCCCAACCCGACTCAATACCAATATACCATCTTTACCATATACTATATACTCCAAAACTAAAATCTTTGCCCATTCTCTTACTCTTTAAGAGTTATACGACTATATGAGGTTAAGGTGGTAGAGTAGTAACATTGTTGCCCACCTCATATCCCTAACATCTATTTCCCTATAACAAATTATACAAATAAATCACTCTCACAACAAAAATTAGGTTTAGTAAAAATAAATAAAAATAGTACGAGTACTCCGTAATTAACTTAATCAATCAGATTTAGGAAAACAAAGTGTATTACTTAGAGGGTAAAACCGTAAAAGGTTCTAAAAAAATTAGGAATAATTGCTGGGAATAATCCCACCTTTGAGGCGTATGCGAAAACTAATCCCACCTTTGGGATATTTTTTAAATAATCCGACCTTTATACTCAATCTGCTCAAAATGGCCCCAAGTGATCTGTAACCGGTTGAGTAGGTAATTTTTTTTTAATTAAGTTTAATTTACACGTGTCACCACATGATTGGTCAAAAAAATATGTTTTAATTTTAATTTTGTTGTAAGAAATGATAATTAGCAATTAACATTAATTAATTTTTTAAATTTTTTTTCTAAAAAAAAAAAAAAAAAAAAAAAAAAAAAAACTAAAAATGAAACCAGACCTTAGCTCCACCGCTACCTGAGCCACCTCCCCGCCCCTATCATCGGCCCAGACGATGCCCAGCGCCGCCATACCCTCGGTTACCAGACCAATCATATTGGCCACCGTGCCGTTCGCCAACCCTCCCCTACCCTCTTCCGCCCATAAACCACCATAACCATGATCAAAATCAAGGTGTGGGAAGGGGAAAAGGGCCGAAATCTAGGCATTTGAAGGGGATAGGGGACGAAAGGGCATGGGGAAGGGGAGGGGGCTAGGATCGTGACGGAAAAGAGCGTGTGGGATGGTTTTGTAGCTCGTCGGAGCTTTGCCTAGGTTTTCTAAAAACTGCCTAGGTGTTCGTGAGGGAGAGGGTTGGTGGTGAGGGGGTCCGGCGCTGTGGTTGAGGGCTGGGTGGTCGGAGCCGCAGGGCAGAGGATGGGCTCAGGCGACAGCTGGTGGGTGGTTTTTTTTTTTTTTCTTTAAAAAAACTAACTGTTTTAAAAAATTTATTTTTATTTTTTTTGACCAATTACAGGCCGCCACGTGTCATATAACTTGTTATAACAGGTTATATGACCGGTTGAGACCATTTTAAGCGGATTAGTATAAAGGTTGGATTATTTAAAAATATCCCGATTACTTTGACGCCCCAAATGTGAAATTATTCCCAGCTATTTTTCCAAAATGAAGGAGGGGATGTATTTTCATATTTGAGGCAATTGGGTAAAAAACCGAGAGCAAAGGCCAAAACTGTGGTGAAGAGGAGAGAGAAAGAGTGGAAGATCGGTGAAGAAGAATAAGAAGTTGGTGAATCCTTCAATGGCGGAATCTCCTAAAGCCTACTTTTCTGGGTTCAAAGACTTTTTGTCCGACAGATTTTCATTTCTTGATAATTACAACAGATTTGTGAAGCGCGATAAGCCTTTACCCTCTTGGTCTGAATCTGATGTTCAGGACTTCATCGCCAGTGATCCTGTTCATGGCCCCGTTGTAATTCTTTCACTCAATCTTTTTAATTTCTGGGTTTTGGTCTATTTTCTGCCTTTTTTGTTTTTTTGTGAAACAGATTTTCTGCCTTTTATTTTCTCTGATTTTAGATCAATTTTCAATAATTTTCTATGATTTTGTGTTGTTTTTTTGATGTGGGTATATTTTGATTTTGTGTATTGTTAATTAGGTTTTTGAAATATTCAGAAATTCTTTGATTGATTACTGAAATTGTTCAATTTGATTGTTTTAATTTGGGCGTCATTTTATGTTTTTTTGTTGATCAAGTGTTTGTGAATTTGCTATGTTTTGAGCTCGTTGAGTTGTTGTTTGGAGGATTATAAGGGCTAGATTTGAATAGCAGTATGAGTGTAGCTGCCAGTGATTTTTTTGCTTTGTTGCCAATTTCATTCTGTTAACAATGAACAAAGTATGAAACTCTGGTCAATTTGTCGAATTGATTAAGAAATTTCTGAAAAAATTTCTTGCCAATTAATCAGTTGATATCAAACTTTAGTGTCACCATCACTGTCGCCGAGGTTTACAGCTGACGGGTTTTTTTAGCGTTCTTTCCATTTGAATTTTGGATTCCAGGTTTTTCTCTTATTAGTTTGATTATGGGTTTTGGTGTAATTCAAGATTTCTACAAATTTGTAATTTATTGCTGTGTTAATGCATCTCATTGAACTTTCTTTTTTCTTTTTTTTTTTTTTTTTTTGCTAGCTGAAAACTGCCAGGGAAGCAGTAAACTATGGCCTTGTTGGAAGTGCTGTTGGAGCTGTCACAACCGCAGGCGTTTGCTGGAAATACTCAAAGAGTCCTCATGGTATCTTTTTACTACTTTGCGTACTCCCCATATGCTTGTTGCTTATTTTTTGTCTGATGGTTTTGATTTATTTTGAGCTCTCATACTTGGTGTTTTCTGTTTGGTCCACTTACCTAGTATATAAGACTTCAAATGATTTTTTAGCTCCAATCACGTAGTTTTGCTTCTTTGTTATGGGTAACATTGACATACTCCAGTATATTTTCGATAATACATCTTGAAAAATATACAGTAGTTATGAGCATTAGAAATTTCGCATATACTGTTTGATGTCAAGACCAGGTGCTGCTGTGATTACTATGCAATTCAATTGTGACATACTTTAAAGATAGTTTGTATTCAATCTCTCCTCTATAGCCTCCTTGATATTGACAATGAGTTTAATATTTCAGCAGTCAGATAAAGCTCATTATTTAATCGAGACTTTGATATCTACAATTCTTTTTCTTAGGTTAGTGGTTGATTGGATGAGCTTTTAAAGAGGGCATTTTCTATCGTAGTGAGAAAGGGAGCTGGAAACTCAGACATATTTTGTTTTTACGGTGCTATGAATATCTCACGATGAACTAGTTAAATTATGATGTCTTAGTAAGAAAGGGAGCTGGAAACTCAGAAATTTTTTGTTTTAAAGGTGCTATGAATATCTCATGATGAACTAGTTAGATTTTGAGGTTTAAGAACAAACTAAGTGGTCAAATGAAATGTAATTTAAGAAGAGAAAAGGTATGAGCATCAGAATTCTTAGGGTTTGATGCTTTTGTATAATACTTTGTTAATGTGTTAAGAGAGAGGGGAGGGGGTGATGTGTTTTGTTGAAGGGAAAAGACTTATTATTGAATAGATTGAGGGAAAATGATGGAGGTAACTCCTAGCTAAAGAGATTGACAAAGTGGTAGCTTGAAGTTATTTATTTGGTGTAGTCTATGTACAAGATTGCCTCAATTGTTTCATTTTAATACAAAAGTACAAAATTGCTTTTTCAATACAACTCTTAATAATGTTGATAAAGGAAGTAACTCAATAAGACAATCTTTCATAAATTTAATAATTGGCCACACATTAAACTTATTGATAGCCCTATTATGGTTCCGATCACAATATTACAACCTTGGAAGACGAGACCCCCTTTACATCCATCTCAACTTAAGAAAAATTAATCCAATTGTGTATTATATCGTTCGATTTTTCTTTTTTTTTTTAAAAAAAAAAATTGACTTCTTTAGACTTATAAAAAAATAGGACAACGTGAATCCCAAATACCTATTATATCGTTCAAAGGTTCCGGGATCTGTGTCGAAAAATGTTGAGATTGTATGGGATGCATTCCGGTGTAATATATTGTTTGGAACAATGTATGACCTCTAATTGGTCATATATTGTTCCTTGGTGGTCGTGAGTTAATGTGAAAAACGTTTAACTTGTAAAAATAGCTGAATTGACACTTTAAAGGCGAAGTGGGCGGTTTCAGCCCTTGGGGTATCATAGATCCCATGGGGAGCACCTCGACCTCTTTCCTTGGGTGGGCTCGAAAAAGTTGAAAATTGCACGAAATTGTCACGCTTTCGAGCTAATTTTGGGAAAATTTACCAAAATTAAACTGAATGCGTGTAGCTGTCCCGACTGTTCGGGGGCTATATAAGTTATTTTGGAAACACATACAGTTATTAGTTAGTCACATAATGGATTAATGGCCCATGACAACCTTAGTAAATAAAGGGAGGCAACTTCGTATGAAGCAAAATTGACCTTTTAATGGAAAAGTGGACAGTTACAAACCAAATGGCCTTCTAGGTTGTCGTGGTGTATGTGGAAAGCACCTTAAACTCTTTTCTTTTCGGGTTTTAAAAAATTAACTTTTTTCCAAAAACAGGATAATACACGAAATTTGGCCAATTTTAGAGTATTTTGGACCTAACAAAATGTTGAGATGGTATAGGATACATTTCCGTGTAATATAATATTGTTTGGAACCATGTATGACCTCTAATTGATCATATATCTTCCCGTGGAGGTCTTAGTTAATGCGAAAAAGCGTAAGTTGTAAAAACAGTTGAATTAACAGTTTGAAAGCAAAGTGGGCAGTATCAACCACCTAAATAGCCTCTCGGGGTATCGTGGATCCCATGGGAAGCACCTCTTTCCTTTACAAGCCCGAAAAAGTTGAAAATTGTATAAATTGATGGCTATAATTCACGCTTCTGGCTAATTTTGGGAAATTTTACCAAAATTAAAGTGAATGTGTGCGGTATCCCTTGGGGTCATATTAGTTAGTTTGGAACCATATACGAGTATTTGTCAGTCACATAATGGCCCGTGACAACCTTGTGTCAATGAAAGGAGGCAATTTCGTATGAAGCTAAATTGACCTTTTAATGGAGAAGTGGACAGTTCCAACCATCCAAAGGGCCTTCTAGGGTGTCGTAGTTTCGATAGAAAGCACCTTAACATCTTTTTCTTTCCTAATTTGAAAAAAATAAAAATTTCCAAAACGAAATAATACACGAAATTGGCCAATTTTAGTGGTTTCGTGATTTGACAAATTGTCAAGATTGTAAGGGATGCATTCTGATGTAATATAATATTTTTTGGAACAATGTATGATGTGTAGTTGGTCATAGCTCGTCCCGTGGTGGTCTTGAGTTAATGTGAAAAGCGTAAGTTGTAAAAACAGCTAAATTGATAGTTTAAAGGCAAAGTGGGAAGTTTCAACCACCCAATTGGCCTCTCGGGGTACGTGGATTTCATAGGTAGCACCCCGACCTCTTTCCTTTGGCGGGCCCGAAAAAGTTGAAAATTGTATAAAACTGAAGGCTAATTCACGCTTTGGAGCTAATTTCGGAAAAATTTACCAAAGTTAAAGTGAATGTGCGGGGTGTTCCCCGAGGTTATATAAGTTAGTTTGGAACCATATACGGTTATTAGTTAGTCACATAATGTCATGTGACGACCTTGAGTCAATTAAGGGAGGCAACTACGTATGAAGCTAGATTGACCTTTTAATGGAAAAGTGGACAGTTCCAACCATCAAAATGCCCTTCTAGGTTGTCGTGGTGTATGTGGAAAGCACCTTAAGCTCTTTTCTTTCCTGATTTAAAAAAATAAAAAAATTTCCAAAACAGAATATACACGAAATTTACACAAAATTTGGCCAATTTTAGACGTTTCTAGACCTACCAAAATGTTCAGAAGGTATGGAATGCATTTCCGTGTAATTTAATATTGTTTGGAACCATGTATGACCTCTAGGCAGTCATATATCTTCTCATGGTGGACTGAGTCAAAGTGAAAAGGCGTAAGTTGTAAACATGAATTGATAGTTTGAAGGCAAAATGGGCAGTTTCAACCACCCAAATGGCCTCGAGGTGTCATGGATTCCATGGGGAGCACCCTCGACCTCTTTACTTTCCAGGCCCGAAAAAGTTGAAAATTGTATAAAACTGAATGCTATAATTCACGCTTTCGATGCTATAATTCACGCTTTCGAGCTAATTTCAGGAAAATTTACCAAAATTAAAGTGAATATGTGGGGTGTCCCCCGGGGTTGTATAAGTTAGTTTGGAACCTATACGGTTATTAGTTAGTCACATAATGGCCCGTGACGACCTTGAGTCAATAAAGGGAGGCAACTTCTTATGAAGCTGAATTGACCTTTTAATGGTAAAGTCGACAATTCCAACCATCCAAATGACCTAGGGTGTCGTGGTGTCTGTGGAAAGTACCATAAGCTCTTTTATTTACTGGTTAGAAAAAATTATAATTTTTCCAAAACAGAATAATACACGAAATTTGGCCAATTTAGGGGTTTCTGGCAAAGTTGAGATGGTATGGGATGCATTTCCGTGTAATATTAATTGTTTCATATATCTTCACGCGGTGGCTTGAAATGTGAAAAAGCGTAATTTGTAAGGTGCCGAATCGACAGTTTGAAGGCTAAGTGGGCGGTTTCAACCACCCAAATGGCCTCTCGGGGTGTAGTGGATTCCATGGGGAGCACCCCGACCGCTTTCCTTTCTGGGCCCGAAAAAGTTGAAAATTGTATAAAACTGAAGGCAATTCACGCTTTCGGGCTAATTTCGGGAAAATTTACCAAAATTAAAGTGAATGTGTAGGGTGTCCCCCGGGTTATATAAGTTAGTTTGGAACCATATACGGTTATTAGTTAGTCACATAATGGTGTGTGACACCTTGAGTCAATGAAGGGAGGCAACTTCGTATGAAGCTAAATTGACCATTTTAATGAAAAACTGGATAGTTCCAACCATCCAATTGGCCTTCTAGGGTGTCGTGGTTTCTATGGAAAACACCCTAACCTCTTTTCTTTCCTGGTTTGAAATAATTAAAAAATTTCCAAAACGGAATAACACACGAAATTGGGCCAATTTTAGAGGTTTCTGGACCTGCAAAATGTTGATATGGTATGGGTTGCATTTTTGTGTAATATAATATTGTTTGGAACCATGTATGACCTCGAATTGGTCATATATCGTCCCGTGGTGGTCTTGAGTTAATGTGAAAAAGCGTAAGTTGTAAAAACAGCTTAATTGATAGTTTGAAGGCAAACCCAAATGGCCTCTCGGAGTATTGTGGATCGCATGGGGAGCACCCCGACCTCTTTCCTTTGGCGGGTCCGAATAAGTTGAAAATTGTATAAAATTGAAGGTTATAATTCACGCTTTCGGTCTAATTTCGGGAAAATTTACCAAAATTAAAGTGAATGCGTGGGGTGTCCCTCGAGGTTATATAAGTTAGTTTTGAACCATATACGGTTATTAGTTAGTCACATAATGGCTCATGACGACCATTAGTCACTTCGAATGAAGCTAAATTGACCTTTTAATGTTAAAGTGGGCAGTTCCAACCATCCAAATGGCCTTCTAGGGTGTCGTGGGCTCCATGGAAACCACCCTAACCTCATTTCTTTCCTGGTTCAATTAAATCAAAATAATCCCAATACTTAATAATACACGAAATTATGCCAAATTTAGAGGTTTCGGGACCTATGACGAAGAAAGTTGAGATTGTATGGGATGCATCATGGTGTTATGTAATATTATTTGGAACCATATATGTCCTCTAGCCATTCATATAATTTCCTTTGGTGGCCTTAAGTTAATGTAAAAAAAAAAAAAGTAAGTTGTAAACGGCTGATTTGACGGTTTGAAATGCAAAGTGAACTGTTTCAACCAACCAAATGGTCTCTCCGGGTGTCGTGGATTCCATGGGGAGCACTCCGACCTCTTTCCTTGTTGGACCTGAAAAAGTTGAAAATTGTCTTAAATTGTGGGCTATAATTCACACTTTTTAGCTAGTTTCTGGAAAATTTACCATCATTAAAGTGAATGCGTGGTGTGTCCCCCGGTGTCATATAAGATAGTTTTTAACCATATATGACCACTCGTCGCTCACATAAAGGTGTCGCATAAAGACCCGTTGCGACCTTATGTCAATCAAAGGATGCATGTTTGTAAGCAGCTAAATTGACCATTTTAAAGGAAAAGTGGACACCTTCCAAATGGCCATTCAGGGCGCTGTGAGGTCCACGGAAATTGCCCCAACCTCTTTTCTTTCCTGGTCCCAAAAAATCTAAAATATTACCAAACTAAAGATTAAATAATACAAGAACATTTTGAGCTTTCGGGAATTGGTGTTGAAAACTGTTGGGATTATAGGGGATGCGTATAATGTTATTTGAAGCCATATATGTTGGGAATGCATAAAACTCTGTTTGGCGCTGGTCTATTTCAAAAAAAAAAAAAAAAAAAAAAAAATTGAATATAATCCTAAGTCGTGTATTTATAGCCTTGACTTATTGGAAATGGTGTTTCCCATGGAGGCTATTTGGTTGGATTGGTACCATCAATTTTGCCTCTTACCAATTACGGACACGCCTCATGTCATGAACTCTAGGCTACCCGAGACCTATATGGCTATATATGATTGACTAGTGGACGTACATGATTTCAAACAATGTTTAATTATCTTCAGATGTACCCCAACCATCACTTGAGTATTTGAAAATAGGCCCAAAGGATTTCACGTGTTATAGCCATAAGGAATTTTTTTTTTCAAACCCTGCAAGGTTAGGCACATAGATGCTTTCCATGTTTCCCAAGGGATCCTGGGAGCCCTATATGACTATATGTGTGCATTTGGGAGTGTGTGTGTTGGGGGGTGGGGTTTGAACTTTTGCTTGCAAATTCTTCCTAGAATCTAGCTGTGCCACATTGAAGTGTTAATCTTGAATCCAGGCTGGTCTATTTAGACTTTTTGTCAAGTTGAAGGATAGTGATGCATCTGCTGAAGTGCTGTGCCACTATTTTCTGATGACTGTTTTTTTAAAACTGGCTGTTAAATTCCACAGAAAGCAATGTTGGTAAATATTCTACTGATGCAAACAGATTAATTGTGAGCTGGCTTTACTCCTTTGCTGCTGAGTGCAACATAGGTTCTCTTGAGAGGGAGGTCGGGGGTTAAGGGAGCTGTGTATACTTGTCAAGTTGTCTGTTATCCCACTTTATTGGGTGGTCACTTTTTTGAGTGGTGGGAGTTTGCAGTGAAGTTTAGGCATTGCTTTGCGGATAAAACAGTGGACGAAAAATGGTGGATCCAATGGCTAATTTTGCCATGCCCTTTTCTCTTTGTGAGGTTTTGAGGATGAAAATTTGGGTGCAAGAGATACATATGTGGGAGCAATTTAGTTAAATGAGCCCCTACTGTTTATGCTGAATTTTAGATGCATTGTAACATTTGTAATTCTTAGTTAACTATTCCATTCCATAGTCAATAATGATCTATGGTTTATGGCCTTTATGCTGAATCACGTATTTGTACTGTGCAGGTGCTGTGCTCGCCCTTGGCGCTGGAGCTGTTTTTGGATGGACATTCGGAGCTGAAATTGGGAACCATGCACTGCAACTTTACAGATTGGACACCTTAGCTGCGCAAATTAAGTTTATGGAATGGTGGGAAAAGAAAACCGAGGGAAGGTCTTAGAATAAGCTTGTTTCCGTATGTTAGGTTTTAAACCTTTTTCTGTTTTACAATAAAATGTTGTGCACCAGTGAGCTGCGAAATGTAGTGCTTGATTTTTTTTTCCCCCAACTTAGATCTGATTGCTTCGTGGATTTCATCCTTGTTGATTTATGACATAGCAATTGTGAGCAATTGATTTTGTGCAATGTCTCAGGTTTTCAAGTCAATAATTATGATTTGCATCCATATGTTTTTGGTTTTCTGATAGTTGTTTATTATTACGGTGGCCTCTTTTATACTCTGTAGCATAGATTAGATAGGGTTACAAATAAATAGTCAATAATACACTTGTCCATGGCTAGATATGTTATGAAGCACAGAGTATGTTAATGTTATTGTTGTTACTAAATTCATGGATCCTTTTTTTTGTGAGAAAATCCCTGGATCCTGGTTCCTCTGCATGCTTTGGTTTTTTTTTTTTTTTTTTTTTTTTACCTGTCCCCTCACTTTTACTGTATGTTCGCCTTTGTGTCTCGTACTTTAGTTGTGGGTTTAGGCAGCTATCGGGATCTTATTCACAGGTTACGGGAGGATTATCCTTGTGAAGAATAAGATGGGTTACCGGAATTGTGTTGGGTGGATGAATTCCTGACAATGAACCCTATTGATCCAAAAGCATTGAAGAATGCTGTTAAGTTCATTTGGCGGCCAACGAAAGGTTTGATTGTTATGGAGGTTTCGAATCATCTTTAATTATTTCATTTTCTCTGCGGTGGTAAAAGACTATAAACTGTTGCTGATCACAAGGAGTGAACAGCCGCAGGACACATTTCAATATGGTTCTTTCCTTTTGGGTGAAGGCATATAATACTGTGTTGTTCAAGAGAAAGCAGAAGGCTGCTCTAAGTAGAGTCTAGAGAGCTCTCAATAATATTGATTTCCATTTTTACGTAAGACAACCATTATATTGTTATTTTTCTAGCCATTGATTCAAATTGGAATATCTTAACTGTCGCTTATTTTGATTGCCAATGTTCTAATTATTATTGCAATAATGAATTTAAATAATGTGTTTCTTTTTTTCTGTTCATATATACTGTATATATGTACAATAATAAGTTACTTTCCGCTTGATTTTCGCGTATAAATATTCCAAAAAAGTTGTATTCTGTTTAATGTATAATAATATGAGCAGTAATTTAGGAGAAAACACGTAACAAATACTCCGTAGTCTGCCATTCTGTACTCCAGACTCCAGAGTCTCACGGGTTGAAAGAAGAATAATCAAATACGTAGTATAAGGATTTTTTGTTTGGAGAAAACTTTGCGTTGCCTGTGCATTAGATGACAATTTTCATTTTAGGACAGAATCCAAAACGAATAATCGCAGGTCGCTTAGATTCTTTAATGATCATTGGTCACTGTAATCATTAAAAACATTGAGTTTAAAATCATTGATAATCAGTGGGTTGCTAATTATTATAATCGGTAAAATTTAGGGCTTGTTCTATTCACCTTATAAAAATAAGTTTCAGGTCTAATAAGTTCAGATAAGTTACAATAAGTTCTAATTTTAATAAAGTTTAATAAGGTTATATAAGTTCAGATAAGTTCAACTAAGATAAATTCAGGTCCAATAAGATAAAGAAAACACACCCTTAGAAAGTGGTACATTGATACTCATTACCTGAAATTGAGTCATATATATACTGAATTACTGATGTCTTAAGCGAGCCTTGCGGCTCCCTACATACCAAAATAAAGGGATTACTAATCCTTCTATCCACGGTTAATTAAATCCTGGGAGATTGTTAAGAGGGAAAAATCCAAAACAAATGACATTCGACCAAGTTATTTAAAGGACGGATGGAGTAATTCGTTCACGTGAAAAACTTGATTTCATTCAACCAACTTGAGTTATATACAAGGTAAAAAAGACAGCATGTTAAATTATTTAAGATGATTTTTATTTTCAAAAAAATGGAGATTAAGTAAAAAAAATCTTGTTACATTATAGGAGTGTTTCCTGTTATAGACAAGACTAAAAATAATGCTAGATTCCCAAATTCCCATGATAGTTGTACTTGATATGATTGTTGATTAATTAAGGAATAAGAGTTTTAATGTATAAGCAAAAGAATTACAAAGAAGCCCACATTAATAAGGACAAGGCAGGGCATCCACCATCTAATTGGTGGTGCACATGGAGAGGTTTGTTGGAACCATTTTTTTTGGTTGGACGGTTCATAGGAATTTGGTTATGCTCTCTACCAGCCGAAAGGCATGGCATTCCAAACTCGTGCCATATTTACATTGGCCTTTTGCTCTTGTCTTCCCTTTTCTATTATAAAATTTACCGTTTTAGTAAAGTTTAGTTGGTTATGCATCGTCCTCACTTCTACCTTTTTTCTTTTTTTTCCACAATAATTGGGATTAGAACTCAGAAAAACAGAGAGTAAAAAAGTTTTCGTGACCATGTACAAATTAGAACTATACAGAGTAGTAGGATACTAGGATGCGAGTTGCTTGGAATTTGAACTTGCTATTTGGTGTAATGTTGCTTGTTAATAAAACAATGAAACCTTTCTAAAGTAACAACTAAGATTACGTAATAAAGGGATTAAAAATTTAGAGCAATTGGGTTTATGTAATGTTGCAACAGATTACAAAATAATGGAACAATAGTTAGGATGCCTTAAGTTAAGGGCTTCAATGAAGGTTCTGGTCTTTTAAATAGCAGACCCAGATCCAATCATTCAACGGTTAGTTTAACATAAAAATAAAAGTGGTTATTAGTAAGATAATGATATTTAGCTGTTCATTTGCGCCGTAACAAGCTACCAGGTCAAAAGAATCTAATCACCATTTTTATATTTCTGTTTACAATATTTCATGCTAGGACAACGACATATGACCTTCCGGCCGCCCAAACAACCCAAACTTAATATACCCTCTAATTACATACAAAAAGGCTTAGATTAAGTGATCCTTTGGTAGCCATACATGGAATTTCGCGCTTTCTTTTTATCTAAACCGAACATATTAGACTTAATCAATCCTGATTAGATCAGAAATTTGATTTTTTGTAAGGTGAATAGATCGCACCAAGATCTAATTAACAAAAATACCACCTTTCTAGGTGAATAGAACACACACAATGTTGCACCCTTCAAAATAGAGGATTGTTTCTAATCGATAAATAAGAGGAAGTAAGTACAAGTATATAAATAACTAATACAAGTATATAATAAAGGATTCTTAAGCAGGTACAAAAAAAATGATAATAATAGTATTATGAACACAAAAGAATGAATTTAAGTATTATTATTGAAATGCACAAACTATTATCTGGGTGTTTTCCAAATTTGTTTATTAAGAAGGGGAGTGGGGTCCAAAGTTGCTGAATGTGAATATCACCTTTGGCCCCCACCAACTCCACCCCATCACACAAAACTAATATCCCCCCACCACCACCACCGACACCTTTCACCATCACCAACAAATAACAAAAATTAAAAAGTAAAAAAAAAAAAAAAAATTACAGTTTTTTTTTTTTTTAATCTTAACATAATTTTACTGTATATATTTATAACTACAGCAGCTTCTTTCTCTCCTGTGGGGGAGCTATGCAGGAATCTTGATGATAGTGGTAAGAAATAATATTGCACACCTCCTGACCTTGGCTCCCCAAACATGGTCTTTTTAACCCTTGAATATATTGTAAAAAAAAAATTAAAAAAATAAAAAAGGAAAACTGTATTAACATCACTCTCTAAAGGCAGTCATCTGAAGCTGTTCACTTGTCACCAATTTTACATCTGCCAAAAAAAATCGAATAAAAAAATTAATAGAGCGTTTTTATGGACCGTGTTACAATAACTTTTAAGGTATCATGACAAATTAGTGTGAGACCGTCTTCTAAAACTAGAACTTACAAATTACTTACAAAAGAAAGAATAATAATGGAAATATTGATGGTGAGTTGTTGGAGACAAGCTTTCAAAAGGTGAGCACTAAATGCAAATCATGTGTGTATACTTTGTTTTATTCCTTTATATTCATACTATGCTTAATATCTAGTACCAAATTAAGAAAGACTCACAAATGAAGAAATATTTCATTATCATCACCACCCACTCTCTTAAAGATTAAAGGAAAATTTTAGGTAGAAGAAAGGGAAGCTTAAGCATTGCCTTCATATTAAAGCAAATTCTGAAACCAATCTTTTGAACTCCATTAACATAAAGGCAAAGCATTTCCCTAAAAGAAGGCCAATAATATGAAATAAAGGTTGAAAAGTCTAATGATATGAGAATAATAATGAAATCAATAAAATAATTGGGTTGGAAAGAAACAAAACATGTAATGTGAGGGTTTATCAAAAAGTAAAGAGCCAAGATTTTGAGGTGAAACCTTGTGGTTTCTTGTGATGCCTAACTGTCACCCTCGAGACGGCGTGTTCGCTCATTGGCAAGCATTCAAGCGCTGTCCCACGGAGCCAAGCACCCAACATGTTGATTGCATCAATAACCCTGTTACATAACCATGTAAATTTGTTAAGACACAACAGCAAACATAGCATAAAACTGCACTCGATGAAAAATCAATTAGGTACACAGTATAGGATTCTAAAATTCATCCCTTTATCCTAGAACATGATACGTAATATTCAACACACAAATTAAGGCATATAGAATCTCATTCTGTATACAACTAGTGACAAAATATCTCCTGAAATAATAATTGTCATTATTGTCAGTTCACAGACTAGGACTAAACATACATATATCCCCTCCGTTCGGATATATTTTCATTTTAGAGTGACTTGAATTAGCAACGCCACAGCCAAATACGAGTGGAGGTAACAATGTTGAATTTGATAACTAAATCCACTCTCTGTAAGGTGTGTCACATGAAAGAATTCCCCTCTATCTGGACTAAAAGTTTACTTACAGATGAGTACAAACTAAATGGAGTCAAAGAATATGTCTTCACAATATTACTCCAAAGTTCCTTTTATAATAATATATACATATCACTATAAGGTGTAAACATACAAAAATTAGTAATATGGTCTGAAAACACTTAAAAGAGAGTTGTATTCTATAAGGACAAGACGTCATCATCAAAGCAACAGCTGGAATTTTTTTAGCTGTTTTCTCAATTAGTACTAAATTACTAAATTGACTCTGCGGCTGCTTCACAAGCAAACTAATTGACATCCTTGTGTTTTACTCTCAACAATCTAACTCATGCCCTGCAATTTCTTAGCAATACAAAGTCAACACGGTGCACCGGGAAGTACTTTTCCACAGAAAGCATCACTTATGGCACACAGCGGCAGAAGCAGCACCAAATTAGCAACTTCAGGATACAAGTAATAATTGCAGGGCCACATAAAGGTTACCCTTAAAGTTCAAGCCCACACATGTGTGCGATGTGAAGTAATGGTAGGGACCTTCATAACTTTGCTAGAGTTCTACAAAAACTAATGGGTGAAAGAGCTATTAAGAGTATCACTTTAACACGAGGATAATATTGACTTATTACTAACCAAATTATTATTTCACCTCGAAAATTCTAGGATAAAAATTTAATCAATAGCTAAAAGTAAATGCTGACCAATTCTGGTTAACACGGTGTCGAGCCATCTCAATAATTAGTACACCCTATAAGACTAATGCTTAATCTTTGTATTGAGTCAATGTCACTGCCAGTCTGCTCTTTCCCCACTAATGATCCATCATTTTCCTAAGAAGAGTTTGGGGCAACCAACAACTGTCAAGCATCACACTCTCTCACTCACTTAAGTACATAAAATTCATACTTCATGAACTTCTAATACATGGATATCATTAAGTCATACGGAGTATAATTGATACTATCAAAGTTATTAAATTAATGAACTTATCTAACTTCAGACTTCATTAAGAAAATATGAAAACAAAGAAATCTTAAAATATTGTAAATCCCACTCAATTCCTAATGACTCAGTCAAGGATGACTAAATCAAAACATGTGAAAAGAGTCATTCTAGGTAATCTTTAATATCATTTTCCAGTATGATGGTACCTTAGGTTCCCAGACAATGTTTTTTTTTCCCCATAATACAACGTACACATAATGTTCTTATAGATTTTTATCAACGTGTAATAAGAGTGTTCATCTTGAATACTGTTGTCTTTTATGGAGTATTATGAAATGGGGGAGTAACACTTTCCTTCAACTTCTCTCGATCTATATTAAAAATTCCAAAGACGATTTACTCAAAAAAAAGCATTTTAGGACTAAATTTATTTGTACCAAAACGGGAGCAGTAGATCTTGACAGAGTTAAATCGCAATCAGTATTATCAATTTTAACACCAACGAAGAAAGAATAATTAAAATTCTCCATCAATCATATTACTCCCATTAGACTTTAAAGATTAATGTTTTTAACAAGTCTCCATCAGAACTTGTGTCCTTTCCTCCTCTTATGCTCCATCAAACCACCACTTACCCACAAGGCCACAATTGTCAGTGAGAAAACAATCTTTCTTAATAGCCTAATTCTAGCCATCCAAGTACGCTTTTCTCGCTAATCCAACGATCTAAGACATTATTAAACATCAACACCGTTTGCCACATTTTCAATACAAGTAACACCTAGTGTAAGCCTACGTACAGAAAAACATTGTGCAAAATTATAATCTCGTCTATTATCAAGAAAGAATACATCAAAAATAACATCAGCAGATTTCCTCTTGGCTTATATGCCCACTTCCTTTCACCAATCTCTGTCCAACTCCGATGATAAAACAAGATGAGTAACACCAATGCATGTGCAAAAAGTTGAGCTTATTAATCTAAATCCCACTCTACTAGTATACGTGTAATTTAGGTCGCCGATGAAAGATTTAAAACTGGAATTATCTGTTTCATGGAAAATAATACTACACTTCTCACTTCCTAAAAGATCATCCTAACCCAAAAGATGAAAAGAACAATCTTTGAACCACCATCCTCTTTTTATTACACGCATTCTCTTTTTCCTCATGTTCATTGCCTCCCAACTAAGGGAACTTCACTTTCCATTCACAAATGCCCACCACTTTCCAGAACAATCCAACCTAAAATCCATAAGGCCCGTTACTTTGCCTTGAATTTTTGGTCATCAAATGAACATGAATAGATTTTTCATACGAATTACCTTAAAGTCGCGGTTATCCTCGGATTTACACTTCCTAAGCAATCACTTGGTTTATTCAAAGATAAAGCAAAACAAAATCCTAAGACCTTGTATCTAATTAAAGATTCTCACGTCACTTATATCCATTATATTATGATCAAAATTCAATTCATATCTAACAAGACAAATTAATTAAATCTTTGCTACAAAAATATACTCTGTATATATACCTGTATAACCAAAAACATTATTAGCTAACGTATGCATACTCTTTTTGATGAAATGTCATGGATATATTCGGTTTTACTAGTAATTATAGCCAATCTAAACAGTAATCTTACACCTAATTAATTTTTCCATTAAAAAAATAATCACACATAATAATCAAGAAATTCCTAATAAAAATCAGCCAATTACCTAATTAACAAACTAATCAAATAAATGGTAAATTAAATGAAAGAAATTACCTCTTCTTGTTTTGGAGACAACTTTAGTAACACGAGTAGATTTTTGAAGAGAATCACTTTTATCATCTTTTTCTTCCAAAGGAAACAACACTCCATCAATCCCTTGAACAGAGATCCTACCATCTGTATAAATATCCGGGTCAAATAAATAGGCGGAACCTTCTCCTTGCCCGAATTTGACCGACCCGTCCGCCTCTTCGGCGGTCATCTTATGAGGCAACCTCAAAGTGTCATACTTAATCTTACCAAATCTTCTTACTGCATTGTACATACTTTCTTCCGTTTGGTATTCCGGTATTATATGGTAGTACATGATCTGCTCCGGCGCCCCGGGCTCGGATAATTGGTCAGTGGTTAGCTTCGCCATCGCCTCGTCGTTGGGGGCTAATACTGTAATTACATATCCTTCTGAAACTAATCGTCCCATCTCAGTGGCGAGGGAGGTGAGGTTGACGAGGATGTCAGCTAGCTCATTGTACCCTCCGTAGTGTACTAGTGTAGTGATGAAATCCTTCACTTGAGCTTCACCGTTGAAATGGTGGTGAGACCCACCTGGCCCCGGTGCGGGCGCCGGGGCCAGGCTGGGGCCTGGCGCCATCGCGGCATAGATGGGGAGTGCCGGCGGGGCGCCAGGTGGTGGTGGGGGACCCGCGGACTTCTTACTCTTCCTCACCAGCTTATTAGTCCGCGGGTCCACCACCGGCGCTCCCTGCGGAATCACCGCCGAAATCGACCTCAAGTTGCGGCGCCGATTGAAGTCCTCCAGCACCGACTGCGGGACTAGGAGACGCTCAATCCCATGGATCACACCATCAGGCCGCACAATATCATTGGGCCGAATAACCTTGGCTAGATCCACGGTTTTAAACCCAGATTTCTTGTTCTGATGCAAATGGACCTTGTCATTGGAAAGAGTCAAGTGATGGCGTCCATTGGAGTCATGACTCGGCCAACCCTCAGAGTTAACTCGAGCTGGAATAACATGAAACAGTAGAAGAGTCTGAAGAGAGCGAAGATTCCCGGGTTCGAGTAAGAACCGCTTGAACTCAGGGTCTAACTCGCGTTCCAAAGCCTCATTTCTCGGTGCGAAGATGGTTACATTTTGTTTACCCACAACATCCTCAAGCTTCTGAAGAAGAAGAGCCTTCTCAACCAACTCAGCTAGCTCAGTATAATGCGAGTCGAGCAAAGCAACAAGAACCGAGTTCGAGTTGATTTGAACAGCCGAATTAGAATTTGTTGACGATGAAGAAGTCGATTTAGCAGGACGAGCAGGCAATGCGGTAGAAAGTGAGGAGAAGAAGAGGAGAGAGAAAATTAGAAGGCAGCCATTAAAATTAAGGCTACCCATTTCAGCAAGGTTCAAACAATGGTGAAGATCGAAAATGTGGGTGGATCTCTGTTATATTATTTATTCTGGTCAAATTAATTTCTGAGAAAAATAAATTGGAGATTGAAGAAGATGAAGGGGGAGAAGAAAAGGGGAGGGGGAGGAGAGAGAGAGAGTGAGTAACTATGGTTTGGTGGAAGAGTGTCGGCTCAGTTTAGTTTTGTGAGGGAAATGAAAGAAAAGGATGGTGACGTGGAGAGAGGTATTGGACTGTCATAGGGGTAATGTGAAAGTTTTTTTGAAGGGTAAAATTGGAAGTTCAACAAGAAGGTTCTGACAGCCTGGATGTGGGGTCCACACAACAAGCTGAGTTTGTAAAAGTGAAAGCTGAGCCGATAAGGCGAGACGAGTCGAGCCGAGCTCAGCTGGATTGGGCAAGTTGTTAGTGTTGTTGTTGAGTTAGAGGGTGTCCCTGAAATGTCCATGTGGTGAGTAGTGGAGAGTTTATTTTAGTTAGAATAGAAAGAGAAGCAGACAGTTGTGAGGCATTGTGTTGCTTGCTATTTCTTCAAGTCAATCTCTTTTTTCTATTATCTTTACTTTGTGGTAAAGATAAAACTACTTGTGAACCCTTTTTTATAAAAAATATAAATAAATAAAAATTGTGTTTATTTATCTTTTTATGTAAAGACTTCAAGCTTGATCTTCTTTGTGTTAATTTTTTTTAATATTTTGTTTCGACCTATCATGCATTACATTTAGGTGGAGCGACCCACTTTAAGAAGTAGGAGTAGCAAACAAATTACACAATATGGCACAATTATAGATATATAGTAGATAAATCATGCACTTTCTACGAAGTACAGGTTATAAAATGCGTGTTTTGATCAATCTATCAAAATCCAATATATTATTTTTTTTCTTTACTACAATAAATTACCAAAATAAATTAGGATATCTTAAATAAATAGTGATAAAAGTCAAAGCGTGTCAATTAATATAAAAAAAAAAACTAATCACATATTAAAAAAAAATAATAATAAAAAAATGTTCTTAATTATTGTTGAATAATATAATGAGCAAGGTTCTTTGCTTCATAAACCTATTACCAAACCCTCCTTTTGTATGGTACCCTTTTTTGTCCTTTAGCTTTGCGTTGAGTTTTAGAGAGTTGTGTTGTGACTTGTGAGCTAGAAATAGTACACGGCTAAAACGGCTCAAGCCGAGCCAAGCCGATGATGGTTAAAACAAAATATAAGCCGTACAAAGAATATCACATGCGGGCCCGCCAAAACGCTGTCGTACCTGTGATGTCTTTGTGAACTTGAAGATGAGCTGTCTATGTCTTCGATTAATAAGCCCACCGCAACTATTTTATTAAATTAATGTATTAAACCAAAACCAGAAATACCTATAAATTTAACATAACATACATGAATTTATAAAATTACTCTTTATTACTTCACGAAGCACTTCTGATAAACGGCATTGCTTTGAAGACGACGTATTTTCTGCCGGAAGGCCGTCCGTCTCCGTCAATTGTCTCTCTCTCGAGTTTGGAAAAATAAATATTACTTTTCCCGTTTATTAATATTTGTCTCGTTTGTCTCTTTTCAGATACGAGTAATTTTTAATGCGCGTAATTATATATACATATATTTTTATATGTGATATACAGTGTGACCGAGGTTACTCGATTAGGGATTATTCGGTCAATTAATAAGTACCCGCTCAATGTTTTGATAGGTGTCAACTTGTGTACAGTAGCATACCATACTTATTTTCTACCAAGCATGATATAACTCATATTATATATAGCTACTTATCGAAACAAAATCAACAAAATCTCTCCTAATATTTTCTCTTACATAAATCAATAATTCTCTTAGCTAAAGTTTTCGATTAGACATGCAAAAAGAAATTTAGTGACCAATGATAGGTGTAGTTTTTTTTGGCCAAAAAACGAAAGGTGCATTGTTCTTTAACCATGCATGGTTTATTGTTAAGCGACACCCAAAAACGTAGCTTTATTACCTTTTTCATTAGTGTGACATATTTTTTCATTATCCTCATTGATTAAATTATGCATAATGAACCCAACTTTAGGTGACACGTTTTATCAGAACCTTAAAGACCAAGGCTAAACCGCAAGGCGTATAGCAAGTAATTTGAGTGTTTTTTAACCAATAAGAATCCATATTAATATTAAATCAATTTATTAGATTAAACTAACTATTGACCCGGGCAGTGCCCCGGGTCATTATAAATTTATTACTTTAATCGAACTATATATATTTTGGATTGTTTGTCACTGAGAGCTTAAGTGGTGGGTTTTTTGGTTTTTTTTTTAAGATGATAGCTTAAGTAGTTTGTTGTTTGTATGAGCTGGTTTGACTATAAGAATATTTTTTTTGCATTAAAATCAACTCGTTGTTAAAAAGAAAAAATAAATAGATAAGTAAATCAAATCTTTATAAATTTGATGTCAAAATATATACTACTTCATAATGCACAAAAATCTTTTTCTCTATAATTACAATTTTATGAATTAATGCACACAATAAAAATGGAGTAATATTTAATTTCTTACAAACTTTGTTATTGTATAATTATTAAGGAGTTACATTCCAAGGGAAATTATTATGCATATGAAGAGTTTATCAATTAAACTAAACATTACTACATGGAGGTTAATGCATGGAGTTTTTCAATCATTAATGATTTGGCGACACATCATATGCCAAATGGCAAAATTGGTGAAACCTGACAAAACAACATTGTCTTGCCATGAGTTTTAATAATATATATTGATATTCATAATTATAATATTAATATTAAATCAATTTATTAGATTAAATAATTATCATATTGCCTTCAAAAAAAAAAAAAAACCATATTAGTTGGTACAAATTACTTCCTCCGTTCTTTTAATATCACATCACTTGCCTTTTAGGAAAGTTTCACAAATATTGCATCACTTCTATTTTAGGACAAAAAATATCTATGTTCACACTGCAAATACCCAACATACCCTTACTTTTTCACACTTACTTTTTATTTTATCTTTACATTACATGGACAATTTTGTATTTTTACATTTCTCTCTTACTTTTTCGTATAACATTTACTAATTTTGCGGTTTGGTCTACATTAAGTTTTGGAGAGATTATTTATTGGAATTAAACTAGATTATGTTTAGATTGTTTAATGGTTGAATCGTACATACTTTGATACTTTATGTATAATGCTTATTACATTAGCACAAACAAGCTACAAGTAGTCCATTAAACATTGGATTAATCATTTTTTTGCCCTTTATTGTAAATGGCTTTTCGAAATGGCATTGCTTAAAAAAAAATGCAAAGTTATACCAGCCAAATGTCAAGGCTTTGTTTACCTCCGTCCACTTATATTAAAGTTAGTAAATTTCGAAGAATTAATTTAAGCAAAAATTATTCACTTACAAAATTGGAGGGAGTCAGGGAGATGCAAATAAGTCAGTGAGCCAAAGCTCAAGTAGATTTTTTTCACCAACATTAAATTGAAGATTTAAACTCAAGTAATGTCTTTGTAACGATAGGTTAAAACTCGAATTCTTTAGTAGACAATAGAAACGTTACCAGCAGTGCACCAAAATTTAATTACTTCATACATTATATTGTACAAAGAGTGAACCTAAGAAGTAACATAATCAATGCAACCATATTATATTCTTTATTGATTGCATTGATACACATTATTTATTCTTCGATGGCGATACCCCTCCCCTACCATTAACCATTCTATGTAACATCACAACAACCATAATAGCACAATGACTTCACTCAATCTCAACGACGAATGGCAAGTTACAATGTTACATCAACGCATAATTTGCAAAATTTGCTTCACGTACATTGATTATATTTAATAGCAATACAACTCCCCTCTTAAATAGTCATCAAATGTAAAACAAGGGGTTTAATGACATTTTGGCAACACAATTGGTTTAAGCTAATCTCAAACACTAGATATAGTGAAATCATTTCGAAGCAATAGAATGTAAGCACTCTTTCGTTAATTAGAACTCTATCAAGTGTGTATTTTCAATTATATACTAAATAAGCAAGGAATTGTATAGTAGGTTATTAATCGTTACTCCACAACAGTTTTATGTTAAATCGACATGATGAATAAAAGAGAGTTCATTCGCTTATGACAAGCAATGAACCCTAACAAAAGCCAAAAATAAGCTAGCTAGCTAGTAGCCAAATAACTTCACACTAGATTCTTAATTTAATACTCAACATCCTTTATTACTATTAAAATCCAACAACTGAATTAAGAAATATGGTATCAACTACTAGTTTTAACCTCATACCCAATACCAATTCATAATACGCAATTATCGGTCGTAATAAGCATTGAACCTAACAACCAAATTTTAAATATAGGGTATGTTGTATGTACAACTACTAGTAAATACTCAACCTCACGCCTAATGGTCAAGGCCAAATCTCATTCTAAATTTTTGATACGACCATAGTTTATACGACTATTAGGTCACAATTCCTCTTTGTACCCTTCTCTTTTCCTAGCAATATCACTAATTTCCTTAAAAAAATAAAAAAAAATAAAATAAATCAAAAAAATAATTTCTTATAGGAAAAAGAATGAAAAAGGCCCCAAATGGTTGTTATTATAAAAAGTTAGGTGGGCACTATATGTTCTCGGGGGTAGCCCCTTAACTCAGAGAGTTACAAATTTATGTGAAGGCTTCTGTCGGTGCATTCACCAAATACTTCTATTATTTCTTCCTTTGTTAATTGCTATACTATGCATCGAGCTTAAGTTAAGCTTCGTCTAATGATAAGAATTGCATCATTCAAGTTCAAGGTTAGGATTTCATCTCAATTAGTAACAACTTGAAATGATAATTGCATCTTTAATTCTTTACCCTTCTCGGTTTCTCCTACACTCAAATGACGAATCGTGCAATTAACTCGTGTGAGATTCTTATAGATGAGTACTTTTTTTGTCCTTTCTTAATTACCTACCAAAGAAAACTGTTATACTAATATAAGTGCTACAAGTATTTCATAGTTAATGAATTCTATTAATCATTTTTTAGCAAATGGGTCCATATATTAAAATGATCTAATTGCTTAAGGTGGGCCATAATAATCATATTAGTTATATTGTCAGTTTTTGTCACGTGTCACTATTAAAGACAGCTCCTGAAATAATCATATTTTCTAAATTAATTTTAATTTTATGTTCTTGGTGGAATGGTGGTTTACATGGTCGTTTCGCATTTTCCAATTAACAAAAAGCAAGTCAATTCCACAAAAAGTATAGTTAAAATAAATTATTAAAAAAAAAAACAAAA